ATACAGCACTGTTCGATACGGTTCGGTACGGTTCGATATGGGTACATGTATTGTTGCACCCCTAATATATATATACATACTGTATATAACTTTGAAGATTCACTACAACTCATGCTTTGTGATGATGAATTGTTCGGCTCCGGGTACTCTCATGTCTTAGTAAACTCCATGTTGCACACAGGCATCACCATTCCAACACAAGTACCTTTCATGTTTCTTCAGTTAGCAGCAATCTTAACCAAATTCACCAAATTCATTTTCTTATTCAAACTTAAAATAAACACTATTTGTTGTATTTTCATCTTTGTTTCTGTTTAGCTTAGTTCCAAATTAAAGACCACTTATTATTAAATAATTAATTATTTACTATTATCCAGGTCTTTATAGGGCAACACTGGTTATGARGGAATCGCTTCATTGTGGAGTTGAGTCGAAAGGTGAAGCTCTTCATTTTTCATCCTATTCTTCCACCTCTCCTTTATGGTCATAAAATTTAGCTCATGACTAAARAAAATGTAAACACAAATGGAATGAGGATTTAATCTTTGGGGCCACTGCTTGTCACCAACGAGAGGAGTCAACGGAGGTTGTTTGAGCATCTAATTAGAACGACTCCTGGAAGCTTCTTATTGAAGGTTTTCTGACCATGTTCCACTGGAAATAGACTCTACAGCTGTCTCCTCCTGGACCTGTGTAATCCAACCATGTGTGATTGGAAGAAAATGAATGGAGAATGGTTGGAATCCAATGGTGTCGCACAAGCTTCAAAAGATGTGGTACGAGCCCAACGCCATATTGGAAGGGGCGGGCTGTCAGTGTAAACAGTTTATCATGAAAAGATTTAGAACTGCATATAAATATTACTTTTTCATTGTTTACCTTCTGCCCATTAGAAACATTATTCACTGCAGATGTGATTTATTGCAGTTGCTTGATTGTACATTGAGCTGCATTTCACAAGTACTAACAAGGAATTTTTCAGCCTCATATAATTTTTTTCACAAGTTAATCCTTAATGTCCTGTAAAGACGTTTGCTAAATATTCTGTTTCTGTCCTAAAACCTGCCTTCCTCTGCATCTCTTAGCTCTTTGTCATCACTATTAAGAYGTCAGTAAACCAGATTAAAGAAAACATTGAATGCAGATATTTCTTATGTCCCTCAACAATAACATGGGTGTAGGTGACTTCCCATTGGTGTCCTTAACTTGTCAGAGTTGGACACACCCCCATTACTATAACTAATAGGTCTTTTTAGCAGCAGACACTGTTTTAACCGTCAGTCTGTCAACAGTTTCTGGTTCTTCCAGTTTTTGTGTTCCCGCACTCGTTATGACAGTCACTTCTTACAAAGCAGGCATTATTGCAGCCTCTAACTGATCCTTTTCCTCTCCCGCCAACCTTGAATGTCAAATCAAGTTCTTCTCAAGTGTGGCTGAGCATGTTTTCCAAGAACTGAAGAGCTGTGTTTCTGTCAATTCTGACACAAAACATGTTCAGGTAAAAAAAACAGGATAATAAATTTTATTTTAAATACAGTAACTGCCTATCTTCATTGCAAAAGCATACTCTAGTAGATTAAATCACAAGTGTTGGATCAGATGCCAAGGTGGGTATGATGGGGATGGCAGGGGCGGTTCTATGGGCAAGGACCACAGGAGCACTGGCCCCTGCTGGAATCTGACTGGTCCCCTGAAGTGCCCCTGTCCTGTCACTCATCTGTCCTTTGCCCAAGAGCGATGATGCTAGGTGCAGTTCCACATCCAAACACAAGTGTGCTAGTGCTAATAATTCAAATAGAAAAGTCCAACATGAATCAAGCTTCCAGAAGTCTTCTTTTCTTAAAACGATTTGAACAATCCTGCAGAAAAAGTCTTAAATGACGGCTGGATTTTCTCACATGCTGTATTTGAGAGTATTTTATCTATATACAGTAAAAATACATTTAAAATTAGTAAAAAGAAATTACTAGATTCAATTTCAAGTGTCTGAACA